GAACACACACTTCAAAAATACGGCATCCCCTCCGAATTTATCAAACAAATATTTGCTCTGTATGCAAGCCCCACAGCCCGAGTGCTACAAGCAGGCTTCCTCTCAGACCCGTTCCCCCTGACAAACGGCACGAGGCAGGGATGCCCTCTATTACCGCTGTTGTACGTCCTGGCCCTAGAACCACTACTAGTCCAAATTAGAAATCAAGAGGGTATCAAAGGAATAGAGCTTCACAGCAGGGAAATTAAAATTAGCGCATTTGCAGATGACATACTCCTTTGTGTCACTGAGCCCGAACAGTCGACCGCACTCATCTTAGATCTCATTAGGGAATATGGCAAGAGGTCTTACTACTCTCTTAATGCCAGTAAGACGCAAGCGTTGGGGGTTCGGCTCAACCACCGAACCCTGACTGCCCTCAAAGAGAAACATCATTTTGAGTGGAGAACGGATACAATAAAGTATCTAGGACTGACCTTTACGAAAAACCCTACAGAGACCTTCTCGGCCAACTACGTTAGGGTGGGGGGTGAATGCCGTCAATTGATGAAAAAATGGGGCACTCTGTTTCTAACCTGGATGGAGAGAGTAGCAACCATCAAAATGTCCATACTTCCTAGGCTCCAATACCTATTTCGCAACCTACCGATTCAGATACCCGCATCCTATCTCCGAGAAACACAAAGAGACATAAATAGATTTGTGTGGGGGGGTCAAAAGGCCCGAGTAAAGGGAACATTGCTACGAGCACCAGAGAGACAAGGTGGCCTAGCCTTACCGGACATTAAGTCATACTACCAAGCAGCAATGCTAGCAACACTCCTTCCCCATCTCATGACCACAACTACACCGCAGTGGGTACACTTAGAACAACTAACGGTCAGGCCCTTTGATATACCCACCCTATTGTGGCTTCCAAACTGGTTTAGACCAGCAGTGGCACAGATGCCAGCACAGATAAAAATAGCACTGAACACCTGGGACAAAATCCGACACAAACTAACATCTCACACCCTATCACCGGCCACCCCGCTCCACACTATAACATATTGTATCCCAACCTTCAACGCAAAGCCCTGGATATCAAACGGGGTCACTCACCTGTACCAAATGCTCTCACAGAACACACTAAAAACCTTCCCAGACTTACAGAAAGAGTATCATGTGCCGGCGGCCTCTCAATTTTCCCATATGCAACTAAGCTCGTTTCTGCGTAAACACACAGACAAATCCCCACCTTCAGAAGGCAGTCTACCTGTTATGACAAAATGGGAACAGATGACCACCACTGGCTCACAGACACCAACGTTTAAACCACTGTCCTGGTGCTATCAGATTCTCAGACCCACACAACACTTTGCTGACTCCAACCCAGCCAAACAATGGACACGAGACTTACAATGCCACATAAGTAAAGACCAATGGGAACGCACCATAGTAGCAACTAAGAAACTAATCAAATCAGAAACCCTCCTGGAACAATATAGGAAAACTCTATACAGGTGGTACATGGTACCAACTCGCTTACAGAAGCTATACCCAAGCTCATCTCCGACGTGCTGGAGATGTGGCAAGAGTGAGGGAACAGTGCTCCATATCTGGTGGCAATGTGATCGGGTGACCGGCTTCTGGCAAGACGTTAGCCGCCTGATCCGAAGCACCACAAAAGTCGAGCTCCCCTGCACATCCCTAGCGTACCTATTACTGCACATGCCAGACAACACACCTAATGAGGTACAAAAGCTAACATTCCACATACTCTTGACAGCTCAGAGGGCGATAGCTAGACGGTGGAAAAAATGTAGTCCCCCACAAGTGACAGAGGTTTGTAGGGACGTAGACAAACAGCAACTATACGAATCCCGATATAGAGGGGTTCTCCCCCTGACAGTAACGGCCATGAAAGCGTGGAAACTGTGGGATGAAGGAAATACGGGAGAGCCCGACAACCAAGCTAATAGGCCCACCACTAGTGGGTAAGGAAACATACTTGGGACAGAAACAGCAGAACAGACAAATAGAGAGCTGTAGTGAGATAATAACTGTGTGCTGTTATAGGATACGATGCAACCAATGTTTTCTCGCAAAGGTGGTTGTACACCTAAATGTAAAATGTCTGATATGGAACCCCCCCCCCCGCTTCTATTCTGTACCTCCCCCCCCCCCACACCAGTTTCATGTGATATTTATGTTTATGACACTGAATGACAAAATCAATAAAAGACTTTAAATGGAAAAAAAAAAAAAATAAATAAAAAAAATGATAAATGCTAAAAAGCCGCAAACAAACTACTGACTGATAGACACACACTCTGTTATACACACAGAAACACAATGTGACACCACACACATTCCCATATACAATGCCACACCACATAAATACACAGAGTGCCAGGCACTCACACTACAAAATATTTGTATTAAATCACCCTCATGGTAGCTTACCTCTTCTACCAGGAGGGTGGCTAACCTGGGGTCCGGATGGGATTTGGCAGCAAACATTGATGCACTATTCTGTGCCTTCTTCACACACTTGTAGGATGTGATGTCATCACTTCTTCTCCACACTACTCGCAGGAAAAGAAAGGGAGCTGTCAGCACACCCTGGTAATGGGCCCGCGCCTGAGTTCTGCCACACATTCTAGTTAAAGGAGATTATTAGAGCTCCTCAACTGGACTGCATATCTCTATATGGTGCCATGCGGGCCCTATGACTCGGCAGAGCCCTTTAACAAGGTACTGGCTTACCTGCCTGATGGCGGCTCTGCCTTTTATGGTAAGGGTCTTTACTACTACAGCAGCATTGGCAAGGTGTAGGGATAAGGAGTACTTTGTCAAGTGAGAATAACATTTTTTTTAAATATCCTTATTCACTTGAAAACCACCTGTCTGTAGTAACAATAAAAAATAAAACAAAAACTGACCCATTTTGAAAGGCATGCGCTGAATGATAAAAACAACTTCTCTAATCGGAGGAGATTATTCACTTTCTTTTACATCAGTTCTCTTAGAGTATGACAACATTTCTTTGGGGTTTAATTAATTTGCTAACAAACAAATTGAGAGTGCACTGCTTTGAGCAATGAGTCCTGCTATTTCCAAATAGAGCTCATACTGTAGGATTTATATAACAATAGCTTCACACCAGACCATGCAGTTCAGGCTGGATGCCATGGATGACGTGCAACGGTGCAACAACCTCAGAATTAGTGGTGTTGCTGAATCCATAGCCGACACTGAATTATTGCATTTCACCTGATGCCTTCTCTCAGCTTGCCTGCCTCCCTGGCTGCTTAAAAACAGGATGTTTGATGGTTCCTAGTGACTTGCCAAGTCCAACAGGGCACCTGCAGCAGTCACCCGTGATGTCCTGCTCCAATTCCTGTCATTCCGGGATAAGATGGCAATTGAGGCATATAAATCCAAAAGCCTGTTCATGTTCGAAGAGATGCATCTGACATTCCTGCCAGGCCTGGGCAGGGCAATGCTTGACTGGAGGCACTCTGTCTAAAGGATCACACAGTCCTTTTGAGAGGCTCAGCTCAGTTACAGATCGGGCCAATCCTGTACCTTGCTTGCCACCAAAGATGGAACCAAACACCGGCTTACCATGCCTGGGGAATCAGACTCTTTCCTTACGGATCTAGGCCTGGCGCAGCCTAAAGCAAATATTCACTCTGCTGGCTGTCCATGGGTATTTTGAAAGTAGTTCCCTTTGTGCCTTTCCCCACTGTGGACAATGGCCAAAGGAGTCAGGATTTTGCCAGGCTACGTTTGCCCCCTGAGTAGTGGAGGGTGCAGTTGGAGGAGTCATACCAGCTGAAATAATTTTATTTTTATTTTTGCTTATGCTTTTTATTGTTGCTTATTATTTGTACTGTGATGTACACAAAGGTTTCACCCTCCACCCCATACGGTGTCCAGGGATTATTGGGAACTATTAATATTACTACTTATCCTCTCATTACAGATGTTAGGAGTACAACACAGTTGAATCTCGCTTACTTGGCCTATAGACCTGCTACTTTCTACTCATTCCTATGGCTTACATTGGGCGCTACCAAGTTACTTGCGGCCTTTAATCGTCTCTTTAGAGCTCTACCTCATCCGACAGGACCCTTACAGGATAAACACCTCATCTAGCCTTTTCTTGATACCCCCACTGCTAGCCGGCGATGATCCTTTAATTAGCTTAGCTCGTTTTATAATCTTATAGTTACTAAAAACCTTGCCCCAATTGTTATCTGTTCTATTAGCACAGAATGTATGGTGTTTTCTTAGGTATCATTGGTTGCCAAATTCATACTGATGCTTACAATGTATTTTATGATGTATTGGTACTATACATAAATAATGTTAAAAAAAAAAAAAAGGAAGAGGGGATTAGAGGTAGAATTAAGGTTACATAGGGTTCTGAGAGCATTACCCTTGGTCGGCAGCAAGAGGATTTCCTCAACCCAACGTTTGGAATGTGAATTGAATCTGGCTGTTTGTGAATAGCTGAAATAGCAACCTATGTAGTGATTTGGCTGATGTCAAGATATAACTGAGCAGCAGGCAAATGATAGTTCATATTTGTTTCAAAATTAACCGTACATAGAGAGTATCAGCATTAGCTACTATATACAGATACAGGGTGCTATCCGAAAGAGATGTCTAAATAATACACTATATATACACAAAAGGATGCACACCAATGACCAATATTCTTTATTTTCTAACAAGACAAAGTATATGCAATACTCATATAGAGATCACATACCACAAAGTGAATAGGCTTAGACAAAAAAAAACAACAAAAGTCCCAAACATGCCAAGCCAACCAGAGCTGGACACGTACCAAAAATACCCCCAATGTTTCAACGCTAAACAGTGCCTATCCCAAGGCACAGCAGTAATATTCACCTCCCCATTATATACGTATATTAGTGATGTCCCGAACGGTTCGCCGAATGGTTCGCCGCGGATGGCGAACATATGACCCTGTACCTCACAGTCAGCAGACACATTCCAGCCAATCAGCAGCAGACCCTCCCTCCCAGACCCTCCCACCTCCTGGACAGCATCCATTTTGAAGCTGCATTCTTAGTGAGCTGTCCAGGAGGTGGAGGGTCTGGGAGGGAGGGTCTGCTGCTGATTGGCTGGAATGTGTCTGCTGACTGTGAGGTACAGGGTCATATGTTCGCCGTCCGCGGCGAACCATTCGGCGAACCGTTTGGGACATCACTAACATATATATATCCATTAAGTCAGCTGATGGCCATCAGTTCCATTCCAGACCTTATTTTCTGTTTTCTTCTCATAAGGCGATTTGTCTGCCATTAGGTTAAGGTATTGTTATTTAAATCTCATAGCATGAGCTCTAGTTGAAAATAGTAGGACTCATTGGTGTGCTTCCTTTTGTGTACATATAGTGCATATTTGTTTGAAATAACCAAATTTGCCTTTTATAAATTGTCAAATAGGTTAACGTCAGTTGAAGCAAGTTTTAATCACCAAATTAACAATAACTCTAGGCACTCCATTATCCAGTTTCCTACCTAAATACAAGCCCCCTACACCTTTATCTTCAATCACCAGGGCAGTGTTCTCATTGGAACCATCCAAAATCCTACAGCAAAATCTGAGTAGTTCAAACTCAGAGCTGCACCCTGTTTAAGCATTTTTCTCAAAAGCATGAAAAACAATTAAGCTAAATTAGCATGATCTGTCCGTAATAAAACCATGTTTGTATCCCACTAATGATTTTACTACTCAAAAGATGTCTGAATAATATTGTCATTTTGCATCCAATTTTATGTTACCCAAGGGGGCACATGCCTACCTACTGGTCGCCTTTTTTAAATGTTGGGATTTAGTGTTGATTTATACATTCATAATTTGTGTTCATGAACTGGCAAATATTGTGCTGCTAAATAAGACATATTTAAACCAGTGCTGCTTGTGCTAATTTGGTTTGCCTGTCTCAGAGCTCGCCATCATTGTTCTTGATTCATCTCCTTAGCTGCTCCTACAATGCTACAATGCTGCTAACTCATCTGATTTATATTTTTCATATAATTTTCTTATTTGAATATTCTTATTAGATTTTGACTGTTGAGTTGACTAAGCAAATTTGTGTGACTTTATTAAATATTATCCTCTTGACAGCATTTGTTATAATTACAGTTATAATTAGTTATAAAGTATATTTTCGACACATAAGTTTCTTTTTTATCCTATGTGTATTTTGAGAAATGTTTTTCTCAGTCAAAGATACAATTAACATCCGGAAATGACAGTTCCTAAAATGTAGCATTTTGATGACGTCAGTACCAATTAGGATATTTTGTATCAAACAATACCATCCTATGGTTACTATTACCATAGCGCCCTGTTATTTGGAGTGGTCCACATTATTAGTTACCACCAGATCAGACAGATGTCTATTCAAGTTGGTGCTTCAGCTATTTTGAGGCATACACATGCTGTTGGGCATATGCAGAAATTTACTTTCCTTAGCCTAAAATACTAAGCTGAGTATGCCAATTAATATTGTGATTTTTTGTTAACTACATTATATTGTACTTTTGTTGTTTATCTATAAGGCTTCTATATTATAACCATTGTTGTGATATACTAATTGTTTATTACTAGCCTTTAAATCAGGAGTAATATACAAATATGTCCCATTTTCACATTATTCTGCCCCTGTTAAAAAACTACCAATTTCTGCCAGATCTCTCATTTGGCTTTTCGGGTAATTAATTACTTATAATATGAATAAAGAGTTATATATAATACAATACAATACATTATGTAATTAGACATTAAACTACAAAAGGGACGTTTAACATGTAACAGTTTAAGATCTGTGCTAATTCCTTCACTCTTTCCAATAACATTCTTATACATTCATATATACCAGACTATATGTCTTTACCCTTTCCACCAAATATTTGTCTTGAATCTCTAAAGAGGCGCACTAATGACCTCGCCCCTAATGCCCTCTGGACATGAAGTTGTCTGAAATGACCAAATAGGTGCTGACATTTTAGGAAAAAAAAGTTCTGAGCTCTTTCACCTTGCAACCATGTCTGTTAAAGGATGCTTGACCATATAGTGTTAAAACCACCATTTAGGTGGCTTTACCACCCCTTAGCCCTCTTAGTAGGGGTTCAAACTTACCTTATTTCCATCCCCACTCCCGATCCACCTCTTTGGTGACACAATCAGAATTTACCATTTTTTGCCAATCTGATGCTTTCCTATTGAGAGGTGGGATGGGGGGCTGGGTGAAATGCTGTTTCAGCCAATCAGCACCTCCTCATAGAGATGCATTGAATCAGTGCATCTCTATGAGGAAAATGTAGCGTGACCACTCCTCCCCCACCAACGTCAGCTCCCACGGCCGATGTCACAGGAGCCGAATGCGCATGCGCGGCAAGTGCCGCGCTTGCATTCAAAGTGTCCATAGGAAATCATTTCTCAATATAGACGCTCTGCACGATGGAGGCATAATATGCCTCCAGCGTCGCAGATGCGCCTCTAGTGGCTGTCTGGAAGACAGCCACTAGAGGCTGGCTTAACCCCAAATGTAAACATAGCAGTTTCTCTGAAACTGATATGTTTGCATCTGAAGGGTTAAAACCTGGGGGACCTGGCACCCAGACCACTTCATTGAGCTGAAGTGGTGTGGGTGACTATATTGTCCCTTTAACTTAATCTATTTGATTAGACTTAATGCCTCTGTCTAAGGTGGTATGTAAAGGGAGGTAAACTGAACATATTGGCTTTCTCCAAGTACTCCGCAGTATTTCCTCAGTAACTATTCTAGTTATTTTTTTTTCCCTTTAGGAAATTGTGCCTGGCTTTCTGTGAAGAATATTTAAAAATGTGAAGGCAGATAAGAACCATTCAGCCCATCTAGTCTGCCCAATTTTCTAAATACTTTCATTAGTCCCTAGTCTTATCTTATAGTTAGGATAGCCTTATGCCTTTCCCACGCATGCTTAAACTCCCTCACTATGTTAACCTCTACCACTTCAGCTGGAAGGCTATTCCATGTATCCACTACCCTCTCAGTTAAGTAATACTTCCTTATATTATTTTTAAACCTTTGCCCCTCTAATTTAAGACTAAGTCCTCTTGTTGTGGTAGTTTTTCTTCTTTTAAATACAGTCTCCTCCTTTACTGTGCTGAATTTAAATGTTTCTATTATATCCCCCCTGTCTCTTCTTTTCCTCTAAGCTATACATGTTAAGATCCTTTAACCTTTCCTGGTAAGTTTTATCCTGCAATCCATGAATCAGTTTAGTAGCCCTTCTCTGAACTCTCTCTAAAGTAGCAAAATCTCCAATACTGCATACAACACTCCAAATGAGGTCTCACCAGTGTTCTGTACAATGGCATGAGCACTTCCCTCTTTCTACTGCTAATACCTCTCCCTATACAACCAAGCATTCTGCTAGCATTTCCTGCTGCTCTTTTACATTGTCTGCCTACCTTTAAGTCATCAGAAATAATCACCCCTAAATCCCTTTCCTCATATGTTGAGGTTAGGACTCTATAAAATATTCTGTATTCTGCCCATGGGTTTTTACATCCAAGATACATTACCTTGCACTTATTTACATTAAGGGACCACTATAGTCAGGGCCGGATTAACATAGGGGCTGATGGAGCTGCAGCTCCAGGCCCAGGCCCCTGGAATAGGCCCATTTAAAAAAAATATATATATATTTTTTTTTTTTTTTTTTTTTACACACTACTCTTAGGTTTGCCACCTGACTGGTATTTTACTGGCACAGCCGGTATTTGAGGCTGCCTGGCCATGTCGGTATCGCAGTAATACCGGCAATACAAATGCAGGTATTTTTCTCAGAATAAATGGAGTTAACTCTGCAATACCAGCACCAGCCAGTAGGGGTCACTGTGTGTGGAGAGAGGCAGGGATGGGAAGTTACAGCATATCCCTGCCTCTCTCTACTACTTACTGATCCGTGGGGGAGCAGCAACACAGCACAGAGTCCAGACAGCAGCTTTACAGCTCAGGTGAGGGATGGGTGGAAAGGCAGCTGGAACACATGTGGACACTGAGACACTAGGGGACACTGAGACACTAGGGGACATATGGGGACACTGAGACACTAGGGGACACATGGGGACACAGACACTAGGGGACACAGACACTAGGACACATGGGGACACAGACACTGGGAGACCTGGAAACACTGGGACACTAGGGGACACTGGGACACTGGGACACTAGGGGACACTGGGACACATAGGGATGCTGGGACACATGGGGATGCTGTGAGACATAGGGACATTGGGAGACACTGAGACATTGGGACATGGAGACACTATGTCCCCATTTCTCCCAGTGTCCCCATGTCCCCATCCAGTGTCGATAGTGTCTCAGTGTCCCTAAGTCTCCCAGTGTCTGTGTCCAATGTCTCTCAGTGTGCCTAGTGCCCCTATATGTCCAAGTGTCCCCATGTCTATGTCCACAACTGTCCCCAAGTCTCCCAGTGTCTGTGTCCCATAGTCTCCCAGTGTCCCCATGTCTCTGTGTCCCTAGTGTCTTAGTGTCCCCTTAATGTTTCAGTGTCCCTATGTCTCCCAGTGTCTGTGTTCCTAGTGTGATAGAAACATAGAAACATAGAATGTGACGGCAGATAAGAACCATTCGGCCCATCTAGTCTGCCCAATTTTCTAAATACTTTCATTACTCCCTAGTCTTATCTTATAGTTAGGATAGCCTTATGCCTATCCCACGCATGCTTAAACTCCTTTACTGTGATAGAAACATATCACAGTAAAGTCTCAGTGTGCCTAGTGTCCCCATGTCTCCCAATGTCCATATATATCCCAGTGTCCCCATGTCTATGTCCACAACTGTCCCCATGTCTCCCAGTGTCCCCAAGTGTCTGTCTCCCACCCTGGCCACCCTGGCCCCTTCTTGCCTCCCTAAGTCCCCATGTCTCCCAGTGTCCCATAGTCTCCCAGTGTCTGTGTTCCCATGACTCTGTGTCCCTAGTGTCTTAGTGTCCCCAAATGTTTCAGTGTCCCCATGTCTCCTAGTGTCTCAGTGTCTCCATTTCTCCCAGTTTCCCTCCATGTCTCTCAGTGTCCCCATGTCTCTCAGTGTCCCCAGTATACTACTGACATGGGG